GATGCTCTATCTGATCAAAACTGGGTAGATGCAATGCATATTGAGATGGAAGCCTTGAACAAGAATGCTACTTGGGAGTTAGTTCCTTTGCCAAAAGGGAAAAAGGCAGTTGGGTGCAGATGAGTGTTTACTTTGAAGCATAAGGCAGATGGTTCTATTGACCGTTATTAGGCAAGATTGGTAGCAAAATGGTATACTCAGACCTATAGAGTGGATTACACGGAGACTTTCGCTCTAGTAGCCAAGCCCAACACTGTACGCGTACTCTTGTCCTTAGCTGCTAATCATGATTGGCCGCTATTACAATTTGATGTCAAGAATGCATTCCTCCATGGTGACCTCAAAGAAGAAATATACATGGATCCTCCACCGGGTATCCTTGTGACCTATAAGGAGGGTATGATGTGTAAGTTACGGAAATCATTGTATGAACTAAAGTAGTCTCCAAGAGCTTGGTTCGGGAGGTTTGCTGCAGCTATGAGGAAGTCTGGGTATGTACAAAGTAACTCGGATTATACTTTGTTTCTGAAACATCGCAGAGGTAAATTGACAGCTTTAATAATTTATATTGATGATATGATTGTAACTGGAGATGATCATGCAGAAATACAAAGTCTTCAGAAATATATTGCGTCTGAATTTGAGATGAAATCATTAGGTGACTTGAAATACTTTCTTGGGATTGAAGTTGCCAAATCTAAGCATGGTATTTTTCTGTCCCAAAGAAAGTTTGTTTTGGATTTGCTTGCAGAAACTGGAATGTTGGATTGTAAACCCATTGATACTCCTAGTGAACAGAATCACAAGTTGGGGTTGTATCCTGATCAAGCTCCTACTGATAAGGAGTGCTATCAACAGCTTGTGGGAAAATTAATTTATTTGGCTCATACACGTCCTGATATTGCATATGCAGTGAGTGTAGTGAGTCAGTTTATGCACTCACCTAGTGAAGATCATATGGGTGCCGTGACACGTATTTTGAGATACCTCAAAGGGACTCCTGACAAGGGGTTAATGTTTTCCAAGTATGGTCATACAGATGTGGAAGGGTACACAGATGCTGATTAGGCTAGTTCAGCTACAAATAGGCACTCGACATCTGGGTATTTTATGTTTGTTGGTGGCAATCTTGTTACATGGAGGAGCAAGAAACAAAAGATGGTGTCTCGGTCTAGTGCTGAGGCCGAGTATCGGGGAATGACCCATGGTGTATCTGAGTTACTATGGTTGAGGAGATTGTTGAGAGACCTTGGTTTTGGGCCTAAGAAACCCATGGATTTTATATTGTGTCAATACGGCTACGATTGCAATTGCTCATAACCCTGTACAACATGATCGTACAAAGTATGTGGAGGTTGATCGAAATTTCATTAAAGAAAAGTTGGATGCGGAGATTGTTTCCTTTCCGTTCATCCGTTCTGAGTACCAGTTAGCTGATGTTCTTACGAAAGCTGTTTCTACAAGTATCTTCTCAACTCACTTGACAAGTTGGGCATGCATGACGTCTTTGCTCCAACTTGAGAGCGAGTGTTAGCGAGATATTCTAGCCCTATTAGGATATTTCCTTCTTATTCTATTAGGATTTTATTTATTTCCTTTTGTATATATATTATGTAATTAGGATTCCACTTATTTTCCTAGTTTAACCTTACTGGGGTTTGTAACCTTGTATTATAAATACATCTTTTTGGAGAATGGAATATATCTGAAAATATTATACCATATTGTTTGACTAAAAGTTCGAACAATATGAGGCAATTTACAGAGATTACAAGAGTGTTTTATAAGTCAGTCTTACTTGACAAGAAATCCTATTTATACCGTGAATAAAAAAAGGACATTATTTACACCGTCAATAAAAAAGGAAACAAGATAATAAAACACCACGAGAAATCTTTGTTCTTTACCTTTATTTAGGTCATCGTGAGAGAGAGAGAGAGAGAGAGAGAGAGAGAGAGAGAGAGAGAGAGAGAGAAGGGGATGCGTCTTAAGTTTTTCTTTTTAAATTTTTTTATCTGATGAAAGTATTTTATTTTGAAAACGAAAAAATTATCCTGATAGGCGTGAGAGGACGGTTTTGGGTTGGTTTCTTATTAATGTTTTAAAATATTTTTTAATTTTTTTTTTCTCAAAATTTAAAAAATTATGAGAGATTCACTATTATACTCAATATAGGGGCCTAAATTTTTAAAAAATAATATATAAAATGGACTTTAAAAAGAAACTAAAAGCATTTACAACATAACAAGTAGGCTTTTTTTTTGTGTGGATAAAATTGGANNNACTCAAAAAAACAGAACGCCTAACCAATACAAATCAAACTGCCACGAGCAAAAAAGAAAAATCAGCAATCGCAGAGCTAGCCTAGATAGGAGCTAAAACAAAAAACTGAATATCCAAGTCTATATTATGGCTCCATTTGGTTAGGCAATCT